TATATAAAAGCAAAGTCCCTTTTTTAAAAAATCTGTTTATAAAATCTAGAAGGAAACCTCTGGTTTCAATTGTACATTTTTAAAGAATTTGTTGAACTATAATCTGTTCTCAATATTTATTAGCTTTCTTACATGACCACCAAAGATGATAAAAGTACGTTCAGATTGATTAAATTACCAAAATGTATTTGACATAACCTTTTATGACAATTTATCAATTGTTAAAATACAGGTAGTCCTTGACTTACAACCATAGGTTGGGCACACAGCAACCAGGCCGCTTTTAGGGCTGTTTGCAGTGTGCCGGGGTCACCTGACTGCATTTTACAACAGTTTTCAGCAAAACCAGCTCATAGCGAACCATGAGTTTGCTTAATGACCATGACATTCACTTAACAACTGCTGTTTAAAAAGGTCATAAAATCAGGTGAGTCTCGCTTTATGATCATCACTTTATGATCATCACTTAACAACTGCTGTTTAAAAAGGTCATAAAATCAGGTGAGTCTCGCTTTATGATCATCACAAGTTATGACCATGATGGGCAGAGTCCATTACGGTTGTAACTGGAAGATTACCTGTACCAATGGTATATCATCTTACAAAAAAATAATCTCTTTCAAATTGTAATTCAGTGTCAGGATAAACCCTTTCTCTGCCTATTCTTCCATTGCTGAAGCATTAAGCTGTAGGCACATTACGTCATATAGAATAGAATAGAGAATGGAATGGAATGGAATAATAGAGTAGAGTAGAATAGAGTAGAATAGAATAGAATAGAATAGAATAGAATAGAATAGAATAGGAGGGACCTTGGAGGTCTTCTACTCCAACCCCCTGCTCAAGCAGGATAGCCTATACCAGTGGTGGCAAACCTATGGCACGGGTACCAGAGGCAGCACTCAGAGCCCTCTCTGTGGGCACGCACGCTGTCACCCCAGTCCTAGACCTTCAGCTGAGTTTTATAAAACCTTTTCCCTTTAGGCCTCTGCCGCCGTGTACCAAAAAAAAGGTTCAATCAATCAGTCAATTTCAACTTCTCACGGGAAAAAAAAGATCTTGCAAAGTTGGAATTGACTGATTGAACATTTTAGTCCCACCCAGTCTACTGTTACCACCGCAGCCACACCCACCCAATGGGCCACACCCACCCAATGGGCCACACTCACCTGGCACCCGACGATGCATAAGTGGGTTTTGGGTTGCAGTTTGGGCACTCAAGGTTTGCCATCACTGACCTATACCATTTCAGACAAGTGACTGTCTAGTCTCCTCTTAAAAACCTCCCGTGATGGAGTGCCCACGATTTCTGAAGGCAAGTTGTTCCACTGTTAATTGCCCTCATTGTATTCATCTTCATTAGTACATATTCTCATTCATAAAAACAAAATACTTCTCATCCAGTTTGAATCTCTGTCAACTGCACATAAGTAAACCATTGACAAATATGACCTTTCTGGTTCTTCATTTAGAGATGTTTAGATACCTTAAAGCTAAGAAACATTGCTCTATAACAGGGGTAGTCAACCTTGGCTCTTTTATGACTCGTGGACTTCAATTCCCAGAATTCCTGAGCCAGCATAGCTGGCTCAGGAATTCTGGGAGTTGAAGTCCACGAGTCATAAAAGAGCCATGGTTGACTACCCCTGCTCTATAATATCAGAATAAATACCAACAGCCATCACTTTGTTATAGCTTTTTTCAGACCCACGTGTGGGTTTGAAAAGGTGTTTTAGAAATCAGCCTTCCTCAACCTGGCGGGCAAAAACAGAAAATAAGGGAAACTGGGACATCAAAGGCTTGATTTTCCATCTTCACCAATTACCTTAAGGCAGAATTGCAGCACAGAGAAAGAATGCAGAGGCTGATTCTTGTGCAATCTGGCTTTTGTGCAAAAGTATCTGTTTGCACACGTACCACTTGCTAGTTTTGCTTGAATCCATGCCATCTTCTCCCAGTTGGAAGCTGCACTAGTTAGCTGGGAAGAACATCCAAGCCACAACCTCAACCTGCCACAGTTTGGCTTTTTCAGGAAATGAGACTATGTTATATTCTACTTCACCTAAAACATCTTGCTAAAACATCTCAGTTCTTTAAGTCCCCACTGTTGGTCTACTCTAGACTCAAATAGGAAGGTTCAAAATCTACTTAAGACTGTTGAGTGTCTATGTGTGGGTCACGAGTCCTGGGGCAATGTCTGCAGTTTTACAAGCATTTAACAGGTACATGGTGGAAAGATTAGAAGAGAATAGATTGCATCAAATATGTTTGGCAAAACCTGAAGCCAATCCACCCTTCTTGGGAAGTGAGCTTACCTGGTCATGTAGAGGCTTCTCTCCTGAATGTAGCAGAGCCTCTCCTTTCCACAGCAGTCTTTCTTGCAGAAACAACAAAATACTGGGCGAGGGACAGGGTGGGATGGGTACTGTGACTGAGGAGGGAGAACAGTTATATACAGGTAGTCCTGGCTTACGGCTACAACTGAACCCAAATTTTTCATTGCTTAGCAAGATAGTTGTTAAGTGAGTTTTGACCCATTTTCTGACTTTCCTGCCACAGTTGTTAAGTGTATCACTGCAGTTGTTAACTTAGGAACACGGTTGTTAAGTGAATCTGGCTTCCCCATTGACTTGGCTGGTCAGAAGATCTCAAAAAGTGACAAGTGACCCCGGGACACTATAACTGTCATAAATGCATGCAGTTGCCAAGTGCCCTAATTTTGATCATGTGACCATAAGGCTGTTGAAATGGTCATAAGTGTGAAAACCAGTCATAAATGACTTTTTTTCAGTGCATTGTAACTTTGAACAGTCGCTAAACAAATGGTTATAAGTCAAGGACTACCTGTAGTTCATTTTAGCAGAGAATATTTGCAGGGTTGAACTATGGAGTTGTTGGTGCTCTCTGAACTTGGTTGTTTGCTTGCAGATGTTTTTTCAATGCATGGATCAAGTTACCTAGTCAGGTAGTGAAATGTCTGCAAGTAAATAAGAAAGCTCAGAGAGCATTAAGGACTCCATAAAATCATTTTTGAGCATTGTTTATATTTGGGTGGCAGGGAGGAAGTTGAATGCTGTGGAAATAAAGTGGTTAAGTACATGTGAGATGAAAATAAGAGATAAGAATAAATGGGTGCTCAATTAATGCAGACTAAAGGGAATGATGAGCATTGAAGAAATATGTTGAGGTGGTTGGGTCATCTAGAGATAATGAATGATGGTTAGATTGCAAACCTACATGAAGAAAAGGAACTACATGGGTGGGGAGAAAGGAGAACGAGTAAGTTGTGGTTGGATGGAGTTGAAATCCTCAGAGAGGTGGAAAAGGGCCAACAGAATAAATGTGTGGACACCTTAAGGAAGCAGAAATAGGAAACATATTCCACTGTGGCTTTTGAGTGGCACCAGAAGGAAGAATCTCTCTATGTAGAAGTGGCTTCCCGCTCTTTGGGGAAGTTGATTTCACATAGTGGCTTAGAAGGAAAATTTATTTATTTATATTTGTGTTGTTAAACAAAGAGCTTGCAAAATCCACGTTGCTTTTGGTTGTTTTAATGCTGTTGTTCTTGCTTCAAGTTGGATAGTGACAGCTCTCAATGACTCAGTAGCTGTGGTTCTTTTCTTAATACCCGATGCCCAAGAGTGTCTAGACAGACTCTCCTGGTTCCTTTGGGCAAAGATTGCAACACTCAGAGGATGCAGCTAAGTCTTTTCCTCCCTAATCACATATCCCCAAAATAGAAGAACAACAAAGTGCAAGGATTCATTTAGGGCTGTTGAAGTTGGATGGCTAAAAGCATTACATGAACCTGGTTTTGGACAGTAGGGAAAATGGCTTGCGGTGTGCATTTAATGACTAAGAATACATTTCGTTCTGTGTTCATCTGTGTAAAGGACTGACTTGGTATTATTTGCACAACATGTTTAACTGAGTCAATTGTGGGTATTGTATTGCTCAAATCCAGGGCTTTTTTTCAGCCGGAACGCGGCGGAACCGCGTTCCGGCACCTTTTTCCGGGCCGGCCGCACCGGAAATAGCCCCTCCCAAATTTTACTTGCATTCCTGTTCTCTAAAGGGGCGGTCCTAGGGTTTGATGAGGGCGTGGCCAGGTTTGAGTTCCGCCACCTTTTCTCCGAGAAAAAAAGCCCTGCTCAAATCTAATCCAATTAATTAACCTTGGCAACTAGTCTGAGATAGCTTTGTTTAGGCCTGAATATCTGGGACTAAACTATTTGAGCTCAGCAAACAAAATGTTAAAATGTACACACAAACACACACACACACACACACACGGGGGGGGGGGGCTGTGAAGTGGCTGCCTGTCCCTTTTGCTTGAATCCCATCCTGAAATTCAGCCACACAAAAAGATGCTAGGTCTCTGACATGTTTTTAACAATTTTTTTTAAAGTATGCCAGAAAAAACCCCAGCTCTCTCTTTTTCCATGCATTTTTACTCCTAACATTTCCCTGTACAAGAAGATGGTAAAGGTGAAACATCTCTCTTTTAAGGGGATTGTGTGAACCGCCCCCCCCCTTTCCCCCTTCCTCTGACTTTTTTTAAAGGCCAGGGAAGGTAGGCTTTATCACCTTGCACCTAAGTTAGGGGTCCTCAACCCCTGGTCTGTGGACCGGCACCGGGCCGTGGGATGCCAGAAATTGGGCCACACAAACAAGTGAAGCCCCATTTGTGGAGTGCAGGCTGCACGTGAAACCACGCCCCCTCCGGTCCACGGAAAAACCTCTCTCCACAGAACCGGTCCCTGGTGTCCAAAAGGTTGGGGTCCTCTGATCTAGGTAATATTTTTGCGTGCATATATATATGTGATATCACTGTCCTATCCTGGATGTCTGTCACACAAATATGAGAATTTTTAAAAAGTCTTATCACTTGACGTAATATGTTATCCTTAGTCTACAAGATTTCACCACACTTCTTGAGGTGGCAAGGTGCTCATGGTCTTTAGTAACTGTTCTTCTTATATATATTTTTTTTCATTTAGATATAAGGCAAGCTGAGAAATAACCATGTTCCGGGCATCTATGGAAGGTGAAGCTGAAACTGAAATTTGGGTGACTGTTGCTCTTGCTGATCAAAACTTAAAGGAGACACTTAAAGGAGAACTTTCCTTAGATTTCAATAGTCAAGATCAACCAAGCAAGACCTACAACATCAGTTCTGTTCAAGGTTATTTTCCCCCCCAACTTCTCTGGAAATAGAGGGTTTGCCCCCCCAAGAAGTAGAGAATATAGAAATATGACTTTTAAAAGACGTCTGTGCACCAGGCAAATTTGGAGACTGACCCGCCGTGGATCTAGAGTGTGCCTTGAAAAGCCAAAAATTAGAAACTTTTTTACTCCCAACATTTTCCTGTAAAAGAAGAAGGTAAAGGTGAAACACCTCTCTTTTAAGGGGACTGTGGGGGGGGGGAAAACCCCTACCTTTTCCCCTTCCTCTGAATTTTTTTAAAGGCCAGGGAAGATATGCTCTATCACCTTGCACCTGTGTAATATTTTTGTAATTAGTGTAAAGGGGTGGTTTAAGAGGCTTGTGATTTCACCGACAGCTTTAATGCTGACTCTACCTCCAAAGTTCAGAATATTGGGGTGTGATTAATTTTTAAACAAACAAACTGTGGAGCCTCCATGTTCAAACGTGATCTGCCACAAAGTAGAAACTGTTAGAGCTGAGCAGAGAAAGGGCTGGCCCTTCAGATCCTGCTTGAGGTAACCTGTTAGCATTTCAGATGGAGAAGAATGGTCGTGATCCTGATGTGGACCTCTGAGTTCTAGATTTAGTTACTGTTTTAAAACATCAAGGATTTTCCCCTTTCCCGTTCCCTTCCCTGCCCTTCCCCCCCTCCCCCGACCAGCATTTTCAGGGATAAGTTGTATTTTGATTTATGTCAGATATCTTATTTTTAAAACATCAGCCGTTTGGGCATAAATTAAATCCAGTTATTTATAATGCAGAATAGCATTTCTCTTTTATTAAACTTTGCTGGAATACATTGCGTGAATAGCATTATGTTAAACAGACCAGATTGACACCTTTAATGCATGCTATTGCTATCATTTTACATCAGTATCTATATCGTGGAGCCGAAGTTATTACTGGTATATTTCTGTTGGTTTTTTTCTTTAAATCTCAATGTGGTTTAGAATTACTCTTCAGACACATAACAGTTTCAGGCAGAGAGATAAAGTGCCACTTATTTTAACATATAAAATAATAAATATGACATACGTATAGATCAGTATTTTTTTAAACTTTTGTAACTTTCAGGTTTGTGGACTTCCACTCCCAGAATTCCCCAGCTTGGCTGGAGAATTCTGGGACTTGAAGTCCACACATCTTGAAGTACCAAATTAGAAAAACACCGTTATAGATCAAGTGGAAATATATAAGAAGTATACATATAATCGTGTAGTAAGCACCATGACAAAAGAGGAGTGATTATTTTAATGTTGATTATTATCCATTTTTTTTCTTTTGTCCTTTTTATCCTGGCTCCTTAACAAAGAATAGCTCTTGCTATGGTTTTAATCAGGATTGCAATCCCTGGTCTGAAAAACTCTTGCTGCAGAAAGTCAAGTCAGATGTTTGAAAGGGGTAATAATCAGCGAGCATTAAAATATTTAGAGCAGATTACTGTTTCCTTTGTGACTGTACTGCAAACTGCAAATATCATGATTCTTGGTTAAGATTTAAGGAACCAAAACAATCCCCCCCCCAAATCTAAATTGTGTCTTAAACTATTTTCCTCCTAAAAACTGCCGAAAATGGGGGAAAAATCAGTTCCATTAGGAAAGTTAGGATTGGTAAAATAGATTAAGGTGCTCAAAAGAACCACAATGGGCTGGAAAGGCTGGTAAAAACCTATCTCAAATCATTCAAAAGACCAAAGCAGTCTTAAAATGGGCCACCAATCTTCTTGCAATTTCACAAGATTGCATTATTTTCATACCAATTACCAGTACCAAAATATTACTAGATTTTAAGCTGTCATATGACACAGAGTTCAGCATTCTCTGGGGATCTCAGTGCAAACTTTATGAGCTCTGAGTGAGCTATATGTATATTAGTGTGTGGGAAGGTACTTAATTACCTCTCTTGGCATTGTATAGTATGTTGAACCCTGATCTAAAAGGTAGGGCAACGTTGCCAAGAGTCACTGAATCATAGTGTTGACATCCTAGAAAGTTCAACTGCCAGCCCACACTCAGCACAAGAATCTTAATTAATGTTTCTCCAACTGATGGCTCCCAGGCTATCATTAGAACACAGCCAATTAAGGTGAGTTACTGAAAATGTCTTAATTATCCTAACCAGCATTCATTTTATGCACAGGCTTACTTGCCATGATTTACTCAAAAGGGAGTTTGTAAAGGCACTCTCATCAAATTTGCTGACGACACCAAGCTGGCAGGAATAGCCAACACACCAGAAGACAGGCTTAAGATACAGGAGGATCTGGACAGACTTGAACACTGGGCATTATCTAACAAAATGAAATTCAATGGTGAAAAAAGCAAGGTTCTACATTTAGGCAAGAAAAACCAATTGCACAAGTACAGCATAGGTGGCACGGTGCTCAATAGTAGTAACTGTGAGAGGGACCTCGGAGTCCTAGTGGACAATCACCTAAATATGAGCCAGCAGTGTGCTGCAGCTGCCAAAAAGGCCAACACAGTGCTAGGCTGCATTAATAGAGGGATAGAATCAAGATCATGTGAAGTGTTAATACCACTTTACAATGCCTTGGTAAGGCCACACTTAAAATACTGCATCCAGTTTTGGTCACCGCGATGTAAAAAAGATGTTGAGACTCTAGAAAGAGTACAGAGAAGAGCAACAAAGATGATTAGGGGACTGGAGGGTAAAGCATATAAGGAACGGCTGCTGGAACTGGGTATGTCTAGTTTAATGAAGAGAAGGAAGAGGGGAGACATGATAGCAGTGTTCCAATATCTCAGGGGCTGCCATAAAGAAGAGGGAGTCAAGCTATTTTCCAAAGCGCCTGAAGGCAGGACAAGAAGCAACTGGTGGAAACTAATCAAGGAGAGAAGCAACCTAGAACTAGGGAGAAACTTCCTGACAATGAGAACAATTAACCAGTGGAACAACCTGCCTCCAGAAGCGGTGAATGCTCCAACACTGGAAGTTTTTAAGAAGAGACTGGACAGCCATTTGTCCGAAATGGTATAGGGTTTCCTGCCTGAGCAGGGGGTTGGATTAGATTACCTTCAAGGTTCCTTCCAACTTTACTATTATTATTATTATTATTATTATTATTATTATTATTATTATTATTATTATTATTATTATTATTATTATTATTATTATTATTATTACTCTATTTGCATTTTTCAACAGTAGTTATATCACATCACATGTATTTGCCTTCACGTCTTCTACTATCTTTCCTTAGTTTTTGTCTCTCTTTTTTTAAAAAAACAACATCATTGAAGTAGAGCAGGGGTCTTCAAACTCGGCCCTTTTATGACTCATGGACTTCAACTCCCAGAATTCCTCAACTAGGCATGGTGGCTGAGGAATTCTGGGAGTTGAAGTCCATGAGTCATAAAAGGGCCGAGTTTGAAGACCCCTGAAGTAGAGAGTCATCCTAAAGAGCCATGTTGGCGCAATGCTTAGAATGCAATATTGTAGGCTAATTCTGCCGACTGCCAGCAGTTTGATTCTCACCTGCTCAAAATTGACTCAGCCTTCCAACCTTCTGAGGTCGGCAAACTGAGGACCCAGATTGTTGGGGGCAATATGCTGACTCTAAACCACTTATAGAGGGCTGTAAAGCACTATGAAGCGGTATATAAATCTAAGTGCTAATGCTATCCCATGATGTTAGGGAGTCCCACCAGTTATTTTTGCACTGTGAAGCGGTATATAAATCTAAGTGCTATTGTTATCCCATGATGATAGGGAGTCCCACCAGTTATTTCTGCATTGCATAAAGAAGTACATGAAGAATTGTCTGCCCAACAATTTCATTAGAAAACAAACACACAGGTAAAAGGACGAAGCGTTTTCAGCTCCCTCCTTTTACAACACTGTCGCAACAAATTGGCCACATCCACATGTTCCAGGCTGCGGGGTATGCTGCCATGCCACATCACTCCAAGGCTCTGGGCCTAGGACATGGGCCCTGAGCACAAAGGGGAGATGCTGTTCTCCACCTTGCACCACGAAGGAGGATTATCACATCACGTCAAGCAGCTGAAGAAGCTTTACTGGTTGTTGGTCGAAGGCTGGTGGCTGAACATCCTCCAGGTGCGGTAGTCCTTTGCTGTGAAGACTGGGGTGTGGAGAGAAAGGTGGGGCACATAGCCTGGTTTTCCTTTCAGTTCCTCAGCACAGCGATTGCGGTTGACAACTGGGGAAAAAAGAAAAAGGGAGTTTGTGATTAAAAAGAGGCCTGGGAAAAATTAAAGTGGACTTCCTTGCTTTCATATGCATCACTGAAGGTTTTTAAGAAGAGGTTGGACAGCCAATTTGGTTGGAATGGTATGTGGTCTCCTGCTTGAGCAGGGGGTTGGACTAGAAGACCTCCAAGGTCCCTTCCAACTCTGTTATTCTATATTCTGTATATACCTCTTCGTGGCCTGGGAATTGGGGGAGCTATTGTCTCAAAGCATCTGGAAGTGTCTCTTGGGGAAGGCAAAGACGGCGCCCACCTATTGCAGGTGTGGGAAGTCAGCCCCCCCCTCAGAGAAGGAAATATTAAAAGGGCAGAATATTATATTTCCTCAAAAGATCTTAAAAAGGCAGAAAAGCATGCCCAGTTTTTCTTAATAGCCTCGTCTCCCTCCCCCAAGCAGAAACCAGCTCTGTAGAAATGCAAATGTAAATAATCCATTCAGGAAGGTTGGAGCCTCCAGCTAGAAGTTTAGGAAGACAAAGACATCCAAAATCTACATACCCCACCCAAACTCTAAGACAGGACATAATAGGATTAACCCACAGATGCCAAAGGGACACACTCAGACTCAGGTCAAAGTACATGACACAGGAAATACAAAGCCTCAAACAGGAACAGGAAAAAACCTTAAGAGCCCCAGAGGGTATAAAAACCCACTCCCTACATGTGCTCCCTCTCTCTTTTCTTCCAGAGCCACCTTCCTGTCTGGCTCTCTTCTTCAATAAACTGCAACCTTCTTTCTAAAGGAGTCGCCATGTTGTTTATTCCCGGCTTGGACTGAACCCCGATGAAGACTTTTCATTCTACACATGCAAGGTTCAAGACCAGCAAGTCAAAGGAAAAAAACCCCATCAAGATGGCAGGTGATAAGGAAAGGGGGCCGTTCTTATAGATAGCCCTCGACTTACAGAAATTTTGGACTCAATTGTGGTTGTATATCAAGGCCTATCTGTAGTGTGAGAAATATTTTTTTTATCCAGATCCATTTCACTGGATGATCAATTTTTCTAGAATTGAGGGAAAAGGCAGGTAGGATGGGGATTGTACCCTCAAGAACCATATTACAAGTCTCTGATGAAGCCCACCTGCCTGAGTTTTTCCCCATGTTTCTTCATCCCCATCCTGCTTCTTACCACATTCTTTGCCAGGAATACTCTTATCCTTCCATAGAAAAGCACCCCATCGTGTGTTAGGATCCGAATACTGAGGAGGGATGATTGGATCATACCAGCTGCTCTCTCGCAAATGCTGGGTGTAACCTGAGGATAAAAGAGAGCAGAAGCACAGATGTGAGCCCCCATTGTGTTGCTACAGCTGAAAAGGCCAATACTTTATTTCAAGGGTGGGGAGCCTTGGCCCTTTTATGACTTGTGGACTTCAACTCCCAGCATGGCTGGATCAGGAATTCTGGGAGTTGAAGTCCG